CCCCTGGACTCACTAGTGATTCTATTCCGGAACAGACATGGGGTTAATTAGAGTGAAAATGTAATCTATTACAGTGAAAATGTAATCTATTACAGTGAAAATGTAATTAATTACAGTGAAAATGTAATCTATTACAGTGAAAATGTAATTAATTACAGTGAAAATGTAATTAATTACAGTGAAAATGTAATTAATTACAGTGAAAATGTAATTAATTACAGTGAAAATGTAATTAATTACAGTGAAAATGTAATTAATTACAGTGAAAAAGCGAGGCTCTCTCACGTTCGGACCCCTTTTAGGACTTGTTCAGATGGACGTAAGTATGATTATGTCTGCAAACAAGTTATCATTTAGAAAATCTGGCTCACCTCATTATCGACCCCCTTGGAAAAATATTCGGTCATTGATTGCATAAGGATGTCTAGGTCGAGGGCCTTGCTGGGACTGCCAAGAATCTGTATCCAAAAGTGACCGGGATGTTCCACAGCCGAGACAAAGATTGCAAAATAATCACTGTGATCTGGTAATGGCATCAAGCGTGAGTCTGGTTCAGGTGACATTACACCTGTATCAAGCAATATTTTAATTTAAATTCTATAATATAATACTTAATAGATTTATAGTAATACTTTACATTAATAATAATATTTTATCACAAAAATTAGTGCCAGTACTCTACTGATGGGATTTACACAGTTATACAAACTGAGATAAAAATAATATATAAAAATTCAATATATCCAGCATCCCTCACAAAAGTAATTAAAGAAGACCATTTCTCTAATTTTCCTGTTTTCCTCTTTTTTAGCAGTCAACAGAGGATGTCATTAATTCTCATCCACCAATAAAATAAACTTAATACCTGGTGGTCTATGAGCCTAATCACACTTAGTAGTTGCGTCGGCACAAGGCCGCCTCACGGCTACCATTTTTTAAAGTGTGAACAATCAAACAATCTTAAGACGGCCCGAAGCCGACCTAACAGTCTGACTATTAAGGTGTCTCAGGACCTGGGCCAACTCATCTTCATATCTGAACATTAACCGAACTTGAGTCGCTATGATAGTGGTCAATTTTAACATCTTATACCATACCATTTCATGCAAAAACCAGACACGGAGGAGGAACTATGAACGTTTGCAGTGCGACCCTGAACCGCCATGAAATACTAACCGCGAAGGAAATGGCCGTTTTGAGTCATCCACAGTTAAGGCGGACCTGAGGCGATATAATAAGTGTGATTGGGTTCAAAGGTGCATGAAGTAGGGACCGGAGTATATCTGAAGGAAAGGGGATTGTTATGCAACTTGACAAAAATTAAATAACCACGTAACTGTCCTATTCAATAAGGTAGAAAATACATCACTCTTTATGCACTCTTTCATACAAAGACTTCTTACTTGCATTAAAACAATAGCACTGGTACTTACTCTTTGGTTGTTTAACAGGTTGGTCTAACTTGTAGTTGACGTCGTCAGCGGGACTGTTTACTTTGCTACCGCGTGGTTTTCGGTCCTGAGAGGCTAGTTCTCTGCGTTTGATATACTCATCCTCGTTTCGTATCTCTTCATCAATTAACGACTTGGATAATGGAAAAAAATTGTTTATTTTTCGAGTAAACAACATTTATTGGTAATGGTAAACAGGTAGGGGTTTGGAAGGTGTTGGAAAGAGCTGAATGATGCTGTGTTATTAAAGTATCTTAATATTAAAAATTCAAATTTAGGACACTGAATTCGTTTTAATCATATCATGGACCTATTAATAAGGTCCATGATCATATTATTAATAGTGCTATGTTTCATTCATAGGTGTGCTATTTTGCAAATCTTATAAAGATCTCAGACATTCTATTTATATACCATATATTCTACTACAAAAGCTACCATTGTTTATAATTGTTTATCAACATTTAACTTGTCTGTATCCTTCATGATTTTCTCTCAATTTTGCTTCCAGAATATTACATCAACTGACCACAGCATTTTCTAATATGCATCCTGCACATATCAGTTCAATAATAAACTGTTTACATCATATCAAATTCTTTATACAACAGGATGGAATCTTGTGAGATTATTTTTAACCTCACTCACTGGCATATTCTTTTATTTCTACAACGTATTCTTACTTTCTCTACACCCCACTACCACCCCATTCCCCCCATCTTTGAAGACCTGTCAAAAATTAAAGTTCATTAATTAAATAAGGTGTAAAAAATTCTACCCTTCAAATATTACCTTTGCAAATGCTATTTGTTCATCTGTTCCAATTATTGTGCATATTTGTGTTTGCATTCTGTTATCATCTTCATCTCTTTGAATTGTGATCTTCGCTTGACTCATCTGAGTCAAGCTGCGTATATTTTTACCGCTACGGCCTGAAACACAAGATACGAAAATGAGCTACGTTTCTTTTCGATTACAACAATTGTCATATTGTCAAACAAGGTTAATGGAATGGCTCTTACAATCACAACAACATAAGCAACAGCAGCAGCAAAATAAAAAATGACATAAAAAACAGAACAATCACTGTCACTGCTTCGCTCTCCAGCATTTTGAAGCCTCAAATATTATGGGAAGAAGCACTAACAGGAGTGCTGGTGAAAAATTATATTTAGCTAGCTACGTGAGAGCTAGATTGCCGAACTAAACAAGAGGAGAAAAAAATGACACTGTGCCTTTCGCTAAGAGTGATGTTATAATTACCTGTACCCCTGGTCATCGGATCTATAATCAAACTAGCACAAACTGCTACCACCTCTACTCCCTGGGGAGTATTCCTAGTCGTGCTTGCAATTTAATGTCGATACCGACTAATACATTCAATGCCACATCATCCTACCAGGTATATCTATGTGTGTACTACTCAAGTTCTCAATCCGTCGATCAAATAAAACAATCAATCAATCAATCAATCACATTTGTTTCTCACCTATAATTTTTCCAATATATTTTTGTGGAATTAGAATCTCAACTGTGTTAATGATTGGTGCAGATTCAATACACTTGCGAACGAGTCTTTCAGCTAATAAAACGTTTTCTAGTTTTCCCCTTATTTTCACAATACGACTGCTGCCCCTCTCCTCCTGCCCCTTCTGTTCTCGATCTTGGAAGTTGATCTTAGCTCCCGTATCTGCTTGCAGCTGTTTAAACAAAAAATCCATACTATACATTTATTTTTTAAACCATTACTGTACTTATTATTATTAATTGTTTTATGCTACTGTATATAAATCATACATTGACATTTTAATAACATAAAATAAATATACTTTTTCTACATATTTTAATTTTATTGATGTTATTATTGACAAATGCATTGAATGATTAGGCTATGCACATTCTATATATTATTATTATTATAAAGACATGTTAATTTATTTTTGTATTTTAAATCAAATTAAATAACATCTGGAAAATACTACCAAATAAATGTACAAAAATTTAAAATAATATTACAAAATAAAAATGAACAAGTTTTAGATTGCACAATTTCATTTCATTTTTTTTTTTTTTTGGCACGAGCTCCAATGATACTGTATGTCAATCAGTAAACTTTATCACTATCAACCAACTCACTGACTGAGTTATACAGACAATTGAAATATCGACAAGGACGCGAAGCCCTGCCCAAAAAGTCACGAAAACCTTAGACAATGGCGGCTAGACTTACCGAGTTGGCGAACATTTCTTTAGCTATCAACCTTCTTTAAGAAAGAGAATTCAGGGTAGGCGGTATGCAAATGAATCATATATTCATAGTGTTAATCTATTTCATGGAACATGGAGGGGAAATTTTTGTAAAAGCCTCTGTATTTCGATCCCAAAGGAAGAGAGAAAAGCCGCATTCAATCAACCTTGTTGTAGGCAAAGGCCAAGTTACTGATGCGCACTGCTCGTGTAAATCTGGGTATCTATAACCAAGCATAGACATCTAGGCCTAGGCTCACGTATGTTTCGCATTTAAACCAGCTGTCTAAGGAAATTAAAATGAGAAAAAGTTTTTGATCACGTGACTAAATGACACTCTCTGATTAGTCGGTTTATCTGTCAATCAAAGATGTTAATTCTGTTTGGAATGCCAAAAAAAGAATGAGGAATTACACTATTGTAATTTGTACCTGTCTGATGTTTGCCCCATCTCTACCAATAATAAATGAAGCACATCTGTCCGGAACTTTTATTTCTATAACTGTCTGCTGCCCCGATGCAACACTCTTTGATGTGTTTTCTGGAAAATCATCTTCTGTAATAAAAAATAAATCAATTATATTTCTGTATAATATTAACACCTAGAGGGCACTCGGAGAGAGCATACCTCCGCCCACATCATAATTCTCCTTAGTATAAATTTCCCCTGCATATTGTCCCCATAAAAAAAAATAATGAAAAAGAAAAAAAAAAAAAAAACAAGT